ATATGTATATATATATGTATTTTTTTATATTATTGTTATACTTTATATTGTTTTATTATATTTAGATATTATTGTTAAATTTTATATTGTATTATTATATAATCTTCAACGTTGAAACTTGTAATATTCATTTACATATGGTGTTCAGGGTTAACAGTAATTAAAGTGATACGATGAAAACAGATGTATATATACATAATTATATTTTTACTTTGATTTTATCAAAAACAGTTGTAACTTTTTAAATAATTTTAAATATAATAAATAGCAGTATATAAGGGATAAATAGGTATGTATAATTAATTATATTCCTATTTTAATAGGAAATAACGATAATTTTATCAAACATATTTATACACTTTTATATTATATATGGAATATATATATATGTATTTTCTTATATTATTGTTTTATTATATTTGGATATTATTGTTAAATTTTATATTGTATTATTATGTGTTATATTTATAAAATTTGTCGGTACATTTCACATAATTCGTTGTTATTGTCATTTATTCCAAAACTTATGAACATGCTCTGTATATGAAGTATAATCAGTCTATAATATAATATAATAATCTGTTATATGTATAATTAATAATTTGTATTTGAAGTATAATTAATCTGTAATATAATATAGTTGTGTTTATGTGAAAAATTAGATATAATTTACTTCTGTAAACAATTAATAATATTATTATTTAGAATTAATTATAAGAGAATTGTATAGAAGAACTTTTATTTTTATTATAAGAGAATTAATATAGAATTCATTATTTGCGACGCTATTGATTGAAGTGTTGGTTTCATCTTCCAAAACCTCTTCGTGAAACTTCAAATTCATCTGATTCGCATCTTCTACCTCTGCTTTCTCTTTACCGTCAAATATTTCTTGCGAATATTAACCGTGTTATTAAGCAATGTTACACAAATTTATAGATAAAAATCTAACGTTATTTAATTTAAACATAATTACTTTAGCTCGATCTGTACCAATAACAAATAAACGTCAAGTCCCAATTATAATAAATTTCTTCCCATTATGTGTGAGTATATTTTGAATCATTTAATTTTACAAGAAATTCAATTGATTTTATTAAATAATATATTATAAATAAATGTGTATGATAGTACAAATTTAATATTATAAATAATTTTGATAACGTAGTAATAAATATTATCCTCCCATGATAATTGACTTTGGGAATTTTTTAAATAACTAATTTAAATTTGAATACGAATAAAATAAAAAAGTTTATTATGATAGAATAAAATATAATTCATAATACATAATTTTCTACTTATGTCATTTGTTTAACACTACCACCAAATTTATATTTTACTGTTACAGAAGATAAAATAAAAGCAGCTTTATCGTAGAATGTTAAAAACAATAACGTATTTAATTTTCAACAATTCTTTCATAATTTTTGTCTTAATACCCACTTTAACAACTTATAAACCATTAAAATAAAAAAAATACAGTATTTGAATAATTTTTATTTTCTTGCTTACTTATTTATTTATAGTGTGCATTAAAATAAACAAAAAATTTTTTAAAATTGGATGTAAATAAAGACAGTAGTCATTTACTGATTGTGACACATAGAAAAAATAAATTCCATAAATATTGTAACTCTTAAGTTAAAATGCCTTGGAAAACTTATTTAGGATTTAGAAAACTGAAACAAATTATACAGTCCCTTCTTTGAACCTTTTCCCAAATAAATCATTCATTTCCATATATTCATTTTTCTTTCTCCCCTTTCCCATCATTTCCTCGTCTTAAATTTCATTCCATTTTTACTTCTCACGTACTGTCACGAATTCTTCATTAAAATTAAAATTTCGATCCTCATCGATAAAATAGGAAAAAAGGAAACGATACAGTAAAACTAATCTAGGCACACAACAATCATAAAATTTAAATCACTAGAGAATACTGTTATCAAAAGCAGATAGAAAATCATAGGAAAAAGAGGAACGAGAGAATCGTTATACACCGATGTTGACCTGTGCAAAATTCCATGGATCGATGCAGTGCCCGGATGTAGTGTCACGTTGTTTCAAAAATAGTTGAAAATTCTCTTTTTTAAACCTTGAAATACCGAAATACTCACAGGAAAAAAGCTATTTTCCATTCCTTTTCCAACCATTTTCTCGTTCTTCTTAATCTATTTAACGATTTATTGGCAATGTTCGACTGTTGAAAGCAAAAGTTTATTTATGAAATAAATTTTTTCGTTACAAATTTGCAAACATTCGTGTGACAATGCACTCCTTACAGGTGCAGGCATAATAACCGACTAATTAAACTATATATCGCTTTTCTTAGTTGTTTAATGGCCACCCGATGAAATAAAGATTTAGTAACAAAAATTGCAGCTAGGTATAAGTACAGTAATGTATTAAAAATACCGAGACTAGCATGCTTGCTTGTTATTCGATATTGGAAATTGAATTCTTGAAATGTCGATAATTTGATGATATCGGAGGAAAATAAAATAATATAATATGAATATATTAATTTACGTTCGTTACAATTTCTACTCGGAATAACTTTTTATCTTTTCAATTTATGCTCCATACACAAATAGACAAAAAGAGAATCGCTTTTATTACATTTGTTTATCAGAAATAATTTTTTTTTTCTTCAAATGAGGTTTAGTAATGTTAATTTAATGTTAATTTATTGTATCAATGTTATATAATATATTATATTAATTTAGTAATATTAATTTAAATTTTTATTCTCAAATCTGTATTTTCAGAATAACTCTTTATTTCTGAAATTTATACTCTGTGCATAAGTGACAAGAAAACTTCTTTATTATATTTCTTTCTTATTAAGAATATGATAATTGATAATGCAGAAATAAATTTCAGAATTCTTATTCGTAAAAAAAAATTATTACGTTCTTTTTATATTTTTAAATAATTAAGAAAAGAATTAGTTTTATTTTCGGAGAAAATTGTAGCATTTTTTCAAATTCCTTTCTTCCTGTTACATATCCTTAATTACATATTCTTAATATTTTATTTAATTATTCTTAATACTTAATTAACTTGACAGCTAAAGTCCTTTAGGTTGAATTACCCTATCATAGATTAATTATTAATATTAATCTATTATTAATTATATTATTAATGATATAGTTATACGATACATTGAAGTAAATTATAGTTAAACCAATTATTCGTTTATTTATAAGTGAAATTTTTAAAAAATAACATAATAAACATCATTACAATATCTCCCTTTATTCCAATTATTATAATAATAGCTCCATTTATCATATCTTCAATAATATTTTCCACATTAATTCGTTATAATGGATAATAATTATTATCTAAATTAATTTATACACAATTATATACAATTGTTTATAAATTACATTTAATTATTATATCAACTATTTTTCGCATTAATTTCTTACAATTAATAATAATTACTGTTCGAATTAATTTATACACAATCATACACAATTGTGTATAAATTAGGCACAGTTTATCATATGCAACATATATAATTATAATATTAACTATGTTTCACATTAATTGATCATAATTAATAATTATTATTCCCTAAATTAATTTCCATCCAAGTACATGACAACAGGATTCTTAGAAAATTCAATTACAAATATTTCACTTTAAAATGGCGCAAAGGTAAAATCAATTTAAATTCGCTGAAAAGATAAAATAATTATTAACTATGATCGAAGTAGTAAATTACAAGTAACATTTATTATACGATTCGACGACTCTTATATTCTTATACTGTAATATATGCTATATACTATATACTATATACTTAATGACACGAAAAAATGTATAACAGCTTCCTTTTTTTCTGCACACTTGTTGAACGAAAAATGGGATACAAATGATAAAAACGTAACTCTTTAGATTTCTTGTATCGATTACACGTGCTATAAGAAGCAGAATATGGCGCGTATCCCTGACGTCGAAGAGCTGGCATCGTATTTTGATACAAGTTTCTTTGGGAATATACGATTTCAACTATAATTGAAAGCGAATCTCTGATTTCGATCCAACAAGAGTAATGTCCCGAATAAGATGCGTATGAGATTATCTTTACACGAAATGAATGGGGAACAGTGTTCAAAAATAAAAATCCAGCTATATATAGTTATACGTAGCTGAATTTTCTATTTCTATATTATTATTTGTTATTCATATATACTTTTTGTTTCATCTACTTTATAAATGATAAATATTAATATGCATTGAAAATACGAGATAATTTTCGATTTTTATCTGTGTACATTCAAGAACGAATTTTATTAAGTAAAATCAAAAATAAAAGGTAACAGATATAGATTTACAAGGATACGTTTTATTTTTAATTAATTAGTAATATGTTAAATTGCCATAAAATCACGTGAAATAATTGCAGAATAATTATTAGAGTAGTGCAAAATTATCGTGTATACAGAAAGTTTGTAAATAAATAATTAGTAATTCGTTTTAACTATACGTTCACTGTTAATTCGTTATTAAAAATCATAATTATTAATAAAATGGTATCACGAAAGCGTTCTGTTTCCAAAAACCAATGGCTAAAAAAATTATTTTTTAAATTCATCTGTCACGTGTTTAAATTTTATTAAATTGAACTTTATTGTTTATATAATAGAACATTTAATCCTTAAATTATGCGATTACTTAAATATGTATTCTAAATACAAAAGAAAATATGTAATGCCTCTAATATTATTTAACAATATTCATGAAAACCACTTTCAAATTTTTATTAAATATATATTACAAAACTTCAATTCTTGTTAGAACATAAATTAATTTAGTATAATTTCAACTACAGGGATAAACGGTATTAGCACTTAAAAAGTTATACCATTAAATTTTAATAGAAATACTATTATTAACTTTTTACGTAAACCATATAATTGAATTTCGCAAATTCTTGAAAACTAATCAACATTTTTTTCTAATGATAAGATATCAGTATAAAAATTAATCGAATTAAAATTAGTTATAAAGTATTTGGAGGAGGCATCTGGTTAAAGTACACACAAAATGACTATAAAACTTATTTATTGTATCTTATCAATTTGTATAAAATATTGATTTAATATTACAGGTCACACACTGGATACGTGTACAATCTATTGTATAATTTCTCATTACTATGTGTATGATATTATTTAAGACCCAAGAAAAACCTATGCATCGATTAAACCTTAACTAAAATCGTTTATATATACGGCTAAAGAATTAGCAAAAATTGTATAGCTCCTTTGGACCAGATTAAATAGAAAAGTACAACATCTGGGAATAATTTAAATTTAAGATTCCCACGAATAAATAAACAGATTAATCTTATCACAAGTAAGATTTTTCAATTGACAAATCGTAACGATTTAAAAACCACAAATTACTACGTAAATCGAAATTCTTTGGAAAGATAAATGAAGCAAAATTCTTTATTCCTAATCCTAAATGAAAAGTACAAGTACCTGATAAATAGACGCAATTTTTAGTTAATCTTTCTTTCTTTCTTTTTTTTTTCCTTTTTACACAATTTTGTTTTAAAAGTTCAAACATTTTGGAAAGGCTACCACTAAAACGTATTTAACTAATAAAAATGGATGCACGCCTCTTCGTGTTGCGAAAGAAACATACCGAGTGGCAAAAAAAAAGGAGCAGGCTGTTCGAATATTTACCTAAAACTTGTGAGACATACGAAAAGAAATGACTAATTGTGAACACATCTCAATTTATTCCTACGTGTAAATGTTCACTAATAAACAATTATTATTGTTACATTTTATTCATTACGAAATAAAAGTGAAACGAACGTTTTGAAAATATCGATATCCAGAAATGCAGAATTATTTGTTCGTTCGAGGCACTCGTACATCTCACATTGATCTTAGCATGCGCTTATAATGGTTAACATGTCATTATCATGTTTTGAGAACGTTGTGAAAATGCTTACTCCTAATATTTAAAGCTTATTCTTTACAATCGAAGTAAATCGATGATCGTCCCCATTCATCATTGTATACCCAACGTTCTCCTATTCTTTTTTTTTTTTTTTTTATTTTTTTCTCTATATACCTGATTTTTTCATTGTTAGAGCGATATGAGGGATAAATGTTCATCTTGTATCAAGGTATGTCATATGTACAAAATATTTGTTAAACAGCATAACATCTCAACAGAACAGTTTAATCAAAATCAATTATCGATACTTGTTCAACATCCCATGCAAAGTGAACAAGGAATTGTGTGGAAATAACTGACAACTAACAGTCACATAAAGTTATGAACAATTAAATGACAAGTTCGCAGTTTACGTAATGTTGAAATGTTATACAACTCCGTAAAGATTCTAAGGAATAATACGACATCTAACGAAAAAGAAACTAACTCTTGCCAAGATCAGTGGAAATTCTCGTGTAGTCGCTAATGATCGTGAAATCTATTGTATAAAATATTTTTAACGTTAGCGATGTTAATTCGTGTTCTGAACTTTGAATACATTGCAGACAAACTTTCAATGAAAAATGTGAATTTACTTGACTGACTTTTGCTTGATCCAACTTTGCAAATACGTCTGAATTTTCTTATACTTTTATGCATTTTAATTTCCAACATAAGTAATTGCAAAAATTTACTTACAAAATACGCTTCTACTTTTGTATGCGAAAAGAATTACTTAAACATATAACCTGTGAAGTACCAGTCTGTGCAAAATACTTTAAAATCTGCGTGAAAAATTTTTTACATCAAAGCAAAAATTAGTAAACATTAAATTGTAAATTGTCCCTTTTAACTTTGTCTCAAACTTTATCTCCCCCTTTTTCTTTTTTAGGTCAAAACAAGAAATTTTATAAAAATAGGTCTTAATTTCAAAAGTTACATTTCAATTTAGAAACAAATACCAGGTGGTAGGCATTTTTATGTGATCCTCGGCTATGATATTTATCTTAAACAAATTAACAATATAGCAAACTGATTGGTACTTTTTAATGATTACTATTATATTAATAAAGTGTGTGTATATGTGTGTATGTGTGTGTGTGTGTGTTGTGTTATGTGTGTGCATGCGTGCGTGTGTGTGTTGTGTTATGTGTGTGCATGCGTGCGTGTGTGTGTTGTGTGGACGCGTGTGTAATATTTACAATATTGTACGCTTTAAAGCTAATAGACGTTGCATGTGTAATCTATTTAAAAAATTTATGTAAGTTAATAAGAATAATATTATCTTGAGTTTTCAGTAATTTATAACTGGAATAAAATACTTTTATTTTAACGTACTAAAAACAAACTAATGGTTATTACTTGAAATGAGAAGTATTCTTTAATCCATCAGTGGAAGCATATATGTTTTCAGTTACGACTATTTATTGCGTCGCGCCCTAACTAGTATTCTTTCCTATTCTACTAATGGGCATTCCTTTCTTATATAACATGTACATTAAAATTCCGATTGTAAACTTCCCCATAAATTAAAGTCAATTTAAGTATTATGAATTCAGTTATGAATATTACACTGTTTATCACAATGTAATTTATCTAGTAATAGTACAGCAATAATAAAATACGAAATATATGTATAAACATTCTATGAAACGAACATTGTAAAGAAATGTAATATTTTACGAAATTTTGATATCAATAAATGAACATAACTCTGTCCCTCTCGCACAAGTCTAAAGAACGACGCATTAATCGTACAAAAAAGAATTGAAATATTTGTTAGACATATATACATTTATATATTTAATTAAAAACTTTTCTATGTAAATGAACCAATAATTATGTGATTAAAAACAACTTTTTTGTTTTTAAAACTGAAGTCACAAATAATTAACAAAAATTAAATTACCGTTACGATTGGGTCTATCAAGTATTATATTACTGACAGAAAATTTTTGAATGGTACTTTATGAAACAGATAAAACAAAAATATAAATAATAACAAATTATGTATTTACTACCTCCATGAAACTGATCATAGATTTAAAAATGAAATAAAGCAATTGGTTGGATAATGAACTTTGCATGAAAACATAATAAATATGTAATGTACAGATTTAGTCAAATTGAAGATCATTGACATTCATTCAATATAATTTAGCCAGAATTTAAAAATGTTAGATCATAATCAGAAAGAATAATCGCTTTTTTTTAGTAAATAGCTTTTATATCTTGGTACAAACCTGCTAATAAGTGTCACATCATAACCATGTGACACAAATGAAAAATTTCTTCATAAAATTTAGTTACAAAAAAGACGCTATAATACATGTCAGTGTCGAGGATCATATTATTGAGAACCAATCTACGATTACAAATAATGTTACTAATAAATATCGTACACGAGGATTGTGAATCGATTAGTAAATACAAACAAGTTTTAGTCCTTCTCTTTCTTTACCATTAATTTCATGTTCATGGATTCATAGAATGCTTGCAAAAAATCTTGCTCACTGAGTTTCGAGCTAATTGCTTTAAAGATCTTTAATAGATCTTCCTTAGACTCACTCAGTTGATCAATGTATTCAACTGCAAATTGGGAAGACCAAAGTTTGTTGAAAACATTTTTCGTCATAGGAGAAGATTGAGATTCTAAAGCTTGTGCTATATCACTTGGGCTATTATTTTGCAAAGCTATGTCTAAAACGACACGCGACGGTATTAATTCATCATTTGCCACTGTATGACTAATGATTACATCCATTGGCATTCTTTTCAACATGGCATCCAAACTAGATAACTCTGTCATAGGCTTTTTTATTCCTTGTTGTTCTTCTTCTTTTAATTTTGTGGACAACATCTCAGCAAGTTCTGACGACATGCATTTTTGACAGATAGCATCCTTAACTTCATCAAAATCAAGGATATCCAAACAATCACTAGTCTTTATTTTTTTTCTGTAGGCATTCAATACCTTTATGAAAAATTGTTTGTCAGCACTGAAAATATCAGGAAGCCGAAGTAAAACTTTATTCACTCCGCAAGCACGACATGCCGCCTTCAATGCTACTTCATTAGAGTTTTTTCTGTTTTCAGCACCAAGCAATTTAATAGTTTCACTTTCTAATTCCACCTGTGATACATGCCTCATTTTGTTCTGTAAAAATAAGTAGTTTTATATCCTTACATTAGCATCTACTTTTATGTTTTATATAATAAAAATTTGTAATAATATATATTAATGCATGATCATTGAAGTATGTTACAAATGATAAAGTATACAAATAATTGTTTAATTAAATTATAAATCATGTTATATTAAAGAAAATTTCTAATTACATTAAAACAAATAAAATATAATCATATCAGAACTGAACAGTATTGAATTTAAGTATTTTATTAGTAAAGACATAATTTCTTAATTTGTAATTAGTATTATAGCTGAGGTGAAACACTATGTAGGAATTAAAGGAAAATATTTACCTTATATTTCATAAGGATTTTTTCTGGGGTGCATCTTCTCGCTGCACTTTCTAGCACTAAGTTAACATCTATTTCATCCAAAAGATCTTCCAAAGCCATTTGTGCTGAGACAGATTTTGTTGCTTTATTTGTTACTGTCTTGGCGAGATAAATAGAATCATTACTAGTACAGGTTCCAACAGTTTTCATTACTTGTGTTATTGGTATTGTACTTCTAACAAGGGCGAAAGTATTTCCAATAATATTTTCTGATGCAGAAACAGTAACTATTGCTGACGATATTGGTTCATTTATAATTTGCCTACATAAAAATAGAACTTTATTGCGTACACATTACATATATATAAAATAAATATATAACATTAAAAAATGGTTAACTTAACATAAAAATAAAATTTTAAAGTGCACTAAAAAATAAAAGCACATAATTATTTTCATTACATACAATATAATTATTTTCATTACATACAATGTAATATCTTTAAAGAATGACGTTTTATAGATATTTTTAATGGAATTTAATTAATTTTTAAATTTGAATAAATCTATACTGCAAAATATGAAGAAGAGATTGTACATACATAGTTGTCATATTTGACGATTTTGATGTAGTTGTTTGTGTAGAATGTTCATATGTTTGTGGTTGAACCTTAGAAGTATCAGCTATAAATATATTTGATGGTTCATTTAATGTAATTTCTGTTGCTTTTTTAAATGTCTTAAATGCACTTAAGCCACAACTTGACTGACTTAATGGCATACCGTGATTTATTAATTTATTATGTACTTCATCAGCAATTTTTAATACTTGATCTTGTGGTGTTACTTTTGGTGTAGATGCAGATACGTTAATATTTACAGCATATGACACTTTGTTGCTTAAAGTATTGTCTACATTTTCTGTGATATTATTCATTACTTTTACAACATATTTTTTCTCAAAACTCTTTAAAACACTCTTTACAAATTCAACTTTCGAATTACCCTTTACTGGAATTCTATTTACTTCACGTTCAGGTAACCTTGCGAGATCACCAACAGTTTGAACATTTCTATTTGTAAAATATGCAGATAAATGTTGCACCCAAAGGGGATTAGTTAAATGATCAGTAATAGATGTTATAGGTTCTTTACATAATATTAATGTAGGGTATATAGGATGTATTGAATCTAACAGCTCTGGATGTGAAATTTCTACATTAAGTTCATTTGTATTTTGACTATCTTGACTCAAAGGTAGACTGCCAAATATTGAATCTGTAACAGGTAAAGTATCTTGTTCTTGAATATTCTCTGTTCTCTGTGTGCTTGTTCTTATTAATTTTCCACAAAAAATTTCATCTGAATTTGCTGAAGAATTCAATTCAGTAAAGTTGGCTACATCTACTGTATCGTCCAAATTTGCAGAATTTATGTGTTTTTCTGATGAATATTCTATTAAAGAATTATTCCGAACATTAAGTAAATCTAATGACTTATTTGTAACAGATGTGTCTTGTACAACACTTGCATTAACATCAGAGATAGTTTCTGCATCTTTAGCATAATCATTATGTGTTGCATCTACTCCAATAAATATATCTTCTTGTGTTGTAGAATCGTCAAATTCATTATTTTCTGTACAAACATTAAGATCTTTTGATGTTTTCAAAATTTCATCATTTTTATTTTCAACTATTTTATTCATAATTGTTGGTTCTATACGTTTTGAAAATGTTGAATCTCCAGTAATTTCATATTCTACATTTAAATTACCAATTTTAATTTCATTACAAGTATTACTTATCATAGGAACAACATTTGTTGATTCATCCTCTACAGAATTACACGATGTTTGTATATCAGTATCTATTGTGACATTCTCTGAATACTCTAATTCCTCAGCTATCTTTGTTAATAATTCATTTTCTCTTTCACACTGTAAGTCAACTTCAGATACATTTGTCATATCAACCTCTTCATCTTTTTCTAACTTATCTGTATCAGTTGAAGTTATTTTCTGTTTGATTTGTTTTAATCGTAGTGGTGAATCCTTGCGTGTTAGTAATCCACGTGAGGTAAATTTATTAGCTTTATGAGGAGAGTCAGTAGATGTAATTTCATAGCCCATTTCCTTTGAAACTGGAGGATCCGCAAAACTTACTCTCTTTCTCTATAATAGTATATAACATATTACAATTAACATATTGTATTAAATTTTAAATCATCAAACTATATAAAAAAATATCTAAATACAAAAAGATCAGATACTAAAAATCTTTAAATTGAATTATAATATTTGAGTATTGTAATACTTATATTTATATATTTATTTATATTTATATTATATTTTATGTAATATAAATTCAAATTAATTTATAGAATTTAAACACAACTTTTCTTTAAAGAATATTTCAAATGTCTTAAAGGCATGGAAACATCTTCAAATACTACTCATTTAAACCATTCTCAAGATATACCATTAATGCATAATACAAAGTCTATAAATCTTTCATAAAATGGTTTATACAAAAGACATAGATAAATAAAATATTTTCTGTCTATTCTCTTGATAGATAACTTTTATTTGAAATATTTTTTTCATGATTTTTATTTGAACCGAATGTGCTATATGTAGCAGAAAAATATTATTTATCTATAAAATCTGTTTCCATAAAATGAAAATATCTTATATCAAATACTTAAAGATATTACCTTGTTTGGAGTTATAGATTCTGGATCAGGTTCTGGAATAGATTGACGTTGACGTTTCAATATACTTGCACTTGGAGATGCAGTTAGTGATGGTGGATTTGCACTTGACCATTCTAAGATTGGTAATTCATCTCCCTCAAGCATTGCCTCTTCATCTATCTTATCAATTTGAGCATCAGTTTGTATGGATAAACAATTTACTGATTTGTCTGTTTTTGAAAAAATTTTTTCTCCATCATTTTTCAAATTGGAAAATAATTTTATTGGAGGTGAAGAACAATAATCTGTTGATCTCATATTACTAAAAATTTTTTCTTGTCTGCTACTACATGCTGTTACTTTGTCAACTTCTTTGGATACAGATCCTTGTTCCTTCTTTCCGAGCAATACATCATTGTCTGCATCCTTAGATTTTAGTTTTTTAGCCACATGTTCATCGTCAAAATTTATAACATTGCTTTCAGCTTCCATTCTTGCCTGCTTTGTTACTAATCCTAACATATGAGCTGCACGTCCTGGATAACATTTAAATTTCGTCTGACGTTTAACATTACTTTTAGGTGATGATAACTCAAGCAAGGATTTAAATTGTAATCCATCATTTACTTTTTGCGCTTCAAGTACAGCATCTTTTTCATTATCACATAAATTATTTTCAATAACAGGAGTCGAAATCTTTGGTTCAATGATACTGACTTCTTCAAATCCCTTAACATAATATTTAGGAACTTCGGTATCGTCGCTATCACAATCATTTGAAACAATTTTAGCCACTTCTTCATCTTCAATTGTAGTTTCATGATATTTCATTAAAGGAAAAGTATCTTCAATTCTATTCAATTTAATAAAATATTGTTTTTCATTAAATTTCTTCTCTAATTCAGGTAATTCTTGAGAATTTTCAATTATATCTTCCATATTATCTCGAGTTTTTCCTTCAGTAGACTTAACATCTTGAATTGTACTTTGTGTGTCACTATTTGATCTATTATAATTAACTGTCTCAACATTAGTTTTAATAAATTTGTTTGTACCGGATAAATTACATGTATCATCTGATATTTTTACAGTAACTTCTGTTTGTACATTTTTTGCCTGTTCCTTTTCCACCTCTTCTTTCTCTCCTTCTAAGTCACTTGTTTTATTCTGTAAAACCTTTTTTATATCTTCAATTTTACTAACTTCAACTTTTGCTTTAAATAATCTCCCTTTATCTAATTTAACCATTGCTTGTGAATCTTCTATTATATCTTCCATATCATTCTGCACCTGGTTTTTACCTTCTGTAAACTTAGCATCTTGAACAATATTATTAATTGTTCTAACATCATTTTCAGAACATGTTTTGGTTTCAACTAAGCCTTCTTCCGTTTCTATAGTTTCTTCTTCCGTTTGTTCTTCTAATTCACTCTTTTTATTGAATATTTTTTTAATTTTTCCTATTTTACTCTTACCCTTTAATTCTTTCTCATTAATTTTCTGAGTTTTCTTTATGTCACCTACTTTTGCATCTCCACTTTTTAATTTAGCACCTTTATTTTCTAGTGATAGTTTTTTGGTAAACGTTTCTTTATTATTATCTTCATGCCCCTTAGATCGACGACAACGTGATAAAGGACTGTCAAATACCATATTTATACGTAAACGGGATATTTCATTTTTAGTACGTTGGCTTAAATTCGATTCATTAATTATCTCCTCTAAACTCATTGCTACATTATCATTGTCTGTAGATTTACAGCTGTCACTATCACTAATCATTTCCATTGCAGAAGCTCTCCTTCGTTGACGCAAACTGGTACCTTCGTTTTCGCTATCCAAAGTTGATTTACGTTTAATACCTCTTTTATCCTCTTTGATTACTTTATTTTCCATATTTTCTGAAGTTTTTTGTTTATTAATCATTTCAGATTTGCCTTGAATTACTTTTGTTCTTAATGTTCTCTGCAAGGCTTGAGTAATATTTGACTGTCCTGGTTGACTGTTAACAATTTCTTCTGATTTTGGTGAAGTAGATTTTACAGCAACATTAAAACGATTGCGCCGCTTACCACTATCTAATACAGACGGGGATAGTCTTTGGTCAGCTTTGTTTTCTAAAAATTCTTCTTGAGCAGTAGCATTCAAGTCCTTCGATATAGAATCTACTGAAGTTTTTGCTTCTGCATTGTCATTAACATTTTCCACTGTTACCGTTTCGTTTTCTACAAACGAATTTTCATTATTATCTATATTACATTTCGCTTTTTGTACAGATTCTAATGACATATTTGGTCCAACACTGTCTGTGGACTTTGTGTCATTTTCCACAGTCGATTTATTGATTGTTTCTAACTCCTTCATTTCAATTTTATTTTCTTTATTAGCGTCATCATCCAACATATTTTTAATTGAACTATTATCTTTCTTATTGTGTCCTTTCTCTGTTTCTTCTAACATTTTATTCCTCTTATCAAACCACTCTTGCAAATTTTGAGTATCCTGCGATGAAGATTGTGACAAATCATTATATAATGCTGGAATATCCTCTCTTTTACGTTTTAATGACTCTTTTTGGTGTTCAGTCAAACGATTAACATCAAATTTCAAATCTGTTTTAATAAATACATAACCCTACAATTGAAAAATATCAAATATTAGAATAATTATAACAGAAACATGATTACAATTGTTACATAAATGTCACCTGCAGTATATACACAAACAGATATAATACAAAAAATATATATTTATATAACATTTTCTACATAGAAATGTACTATAAATCACATGGTAAATTTGTATTCAGCAATGATGATATATTCTTTATGTATATAGAGTTATTTATAAACTTATAAAGAGTATCATTTATATATTTTTATATCACTTAAGCTTATCTATGAATAATGTATTTATGAAATGCATTTATTTTTTTCTACATATATGAGTTATTTTTTTGGGTACTTTCAGACTATAAATGTAATCAAATTATTCTATAAACATATATACAGATTATAGAAAGTCCGGAATTATGTACATATATATATTTACCTGCGAATCTGCGTCAATTAATGCTTTTTTATCAATTTTATCTGGTTCTTTAATTATTAATTTTTGATTACTAGTTGCTCTTACAAAGGTACCAACTATTTTTAATTGATTTGATGATTTTCCAACTTGGTCATTTTTCTTTTTTATAATTTTACATAATATTTTATTATTCCTTGTTTCTTTTTCTATTTCTTCTAATATTAATTTAATACTATCATTTAACCCATTTTGTAATTCAAAAAGAGATACTGTTTGAACTTGTATGTCAAGACTTGGATGATTTAATGCTAGAATAATTAGTTTTTTGTAATCTGAAAGAAGATTATAATCTACTAATTTACCAAGTCCTTTAAAAATATTAACTACACCTTCCCAAGTACTTGCTATCTGCAAATAAAATATTTTAAAGTTAATTGTTTCTATATACATTCAATAGAAATAATATATTAAGAAAGTACATACTTCATTATATAACGATTCTAAATCAGACTGAAGCATGAGTTTAATTACAGGTTTACAAATTTGCAAATATGGTACTATTTTTTCTGAATTGTGACCGAAAATAGTAACGAGTACTGCTGATAATGCTTTTAGAGCAGTTTCACATTCCTTAATCTTCTTACTGCATAAAAAGTATGTTATAAGATCCACAATAAGATGTATGATAGATGGAATTCCTGCATTTGCTAAAAATTAAATTTAAAGATAAATATTTACACACACACAACGTGTCCCAGCAACAGTAGTATAATTGGGAACGGAGTGATTCTACAAACAGAAACGAATCGAAAAAAAAAAAAAGTTAAGTGCACGCATACTCGGTATATATTCAAAATCGATTTTCTTGACAACGAAGCTTCGAATAAAAAAATGTTATTCTTTATTTTCAATTTGTTTTTTTACGTAGAATCACCCCCTTCCCGGTTGTACTACCGTTGCTGGGACACCCTGTATATATGTATATGTGTATATATATTTTACTCTGAAAACTACTTGTTTACTTATAAACTAAATTATTAACATACCCAATAGAAGCTTATAGTTGATAGTACTTAATAAAAAGTCTAAACAATTTATAATAAGATAAGAAGATTTTTGATTAGTTGTCAAACAATTTTGCATAACACTTGCAACATTCAATAAAATTTCGTTAGACTTTACAGTTGTCATAAGGTCTGTTCGCATTTCAAATTGTCTATATAAATATTTCCAAGCTTTTGCTAATTCTTGAACCTATAGCAAATACCATCAAAATTAAGATGGAAATATACATATACCATATTTACCATAATCAATAATTATATATGATATTTAAAATTTATAAATTATTTAATATAACAAAATTAACCTGCTTTTGATCCTCCAACTGTAAATACATAAATGGAAACATTACAATAGATTCAACAGTCTTTAAATTGTGTTCTGAAGAGCTTCCTTCATTGATTTCTTGTATGTCACTCATGTATTTTCCTAATACATCTGCTAAAATAAGCCACAATTCAAGAATAATAGAGCTGAAAAGTATTATAAAAATAATAAAAAATAGTACAAAGTCAATATTCTAACTGATATTAATTGTTACTTTAAATTATTTGTAACTTACTCGTTTTTGTTTCGTTTACTTAATAATAGATGTAATTTTTCATGCAGCTTTTTAAGACAACTAAATGCATGTAAATGATACATATTCTCTTTTCGAGACTTGATAGATTGCCAAAAGAGATTCTTTAATGCATTATAATGTTTCCTTAAAAAATAGTTTTATATGTATTTTTTACATTTTTCTTACAACAATAATATAAATATATTAATTTAAATATAAATATATTTATATCATACTATATCATAATATATTAATAATATAAATATATTTAAATTATGTTAAATACATAATGCAAAGACAGTAATATAAGTAATTGCAAAATAAAATTGTGTATAAAAAATTTTATCTTCATTTATAATAAAAGAAGAAAATATAGCTTATTAAAAGCAGAAAAGTTGTAAATTAAAATGAAATTATATCTATTTAATTGTTATTTATCTTTTTTAAATTATATATCAATTATTACTCAATATATCTTTTAAATTGTATTTCAAATATTAATAACACAAAAAAGTGTATATTATTGAGAAAATTTAATAATATATATGACATTCATTATATATTATTCTAATAATAATATATTTATAACACTCACTTTTCAGCTTGATCTAAGACTGGTATTTGAAGAAGTTTGAATACTAAGCCTGATAGTGTATCATCTTGGAAATTTAAATCTATACTCAAATCAGCAATTTGAAATAAGATCATGTCAAGAATCAAATTTTTAATCATTAATTTATCCTTAGCATAATTTGTTAGTTCTATAGTTACTAGTATCATATCTTTATACATGTTTTCCTGTAAAATAACATTATTTAACAATTAATTCATTTTAATGTAATTTTAAACAGTAAAATGTTCTCTTTAAATAATATTTAAACCTTTTCCTTTAGTTTTGATTCTTGTATATAACTGACTAAATTAGTCCATAGTATTTTACCAAGTTGATATCTGTTTTTCATTTCTGCATCTGTAAGTTGGCTAAGCACAAGCAGTGCTTCTCCTACACTGTGAATTATACTTTTATAGCACTCTTGGAAAACAACATCAGATATAGGGTGTGGAAGTCTTTCTTCCAAGATTGCAGCAGTATGATGATTTTCTTGTTTTGTAACAAGAAGTTGGCATAAAGCATCTACAGCAACAACTTTTGTTTTAAAAAATCTTTTTCCTGGTGAGGCTACTATATCAAACTTTGAAGATAATAATGGTGTGTCTCCAAGAGGTCCAAAGCAAAAATTTAAGAACTGTGTAATTACAGGATTGACAAATTTAGTAATATCTTTATAAAGTTTAATGATCACATGCCACCAGACTTCTAACTTTGTTAATGCTATTAATTCAGTTTTACTATTTTTTGCATTCAAGGGAATACACAACAATTTTATTCGCCTAGCAGTAGCAAGTTCTTGTGAGTCTAAAGCAAAATTGTCCACCAATAATTTCCATGAAAGAAATGCTTGCCTGAAGCATAAAATATTGCATTATTTCTGACTTGTACTAGATGGTGTCATTTCTTATGTGGTCATTATATATACCTGCGTATAATTGCATCTGTAGATTTAAATGCCTTTTCTTCAACACTCAGTAAATTATTTATTAAACCAGCACCACGGTGGAGGTCCATACCAAGAAACTGAATACTAACATTCCATTGTGTAGCCCAATCTAATTCACATCCAGATACTAAAAGTAACATACGTTTGCAGTATGTAGATTGTAATGCTGCTATATATCGAGTCCATGCAGATGTTAGTTTAGTACGAACATGTGATAACATATTTGTGGCTAGAGCTTGTTGTAAAAGTTTCAAAGCAGGACCTCGTTGTCGTTTATGACCCATATAAGCTAATAGCGTTATTTTATCCATTAAAAGTGCATGAAACTATAAGAATAAATAACTTAATATTTTTACACTTTTGTAATATACAAATAATTCATATATTATTTATACATTGTTTATTAAAATTTACTAATTATGTATGTACCCTTTGAACTTTAATATCTGATGTTATTGCAGCCACTTTATATAATCTCCTTAATAAAGTTACACAATAATTAACTGTTTCTTCTTCTAATCTTTGGTCATCTGATAATGGTTTACTTTCAGCATCTATCAATGCTTGAAGATTATCTACACATGCAGTTGGTGCTGTCCATGGCATTGTATTTGTTTGTATTGTACACATACAATTATTAAAAAAAATTACAGCATGTGGATCAGAAGCAAATGTTGATATAGCATTATCTTCAACTACCTCTAATAATTTAAGAATTTTTAGTCTGAAATTACAATAAAAATATTATAACTGCAAAAATTGATGTTAAATATTATTAATGCTTTAGTAGCAAGAAATAAATAATCTTAAAATAAAAATAATATATATCTAAGTATAATACGATATACATTACATATAATAAAATATAAATTATAAAATATTTGACAGTTGAATATATTCTAGATTCCGGTAATCTATGATATTAATTTTAATTTAAAAATATTAGTAAATTATAGTTTATCAGTAATAAATTATTGAAAGTTTATTTTATATGAACAAACCTATTTTTTTGACTTATCTGTGATATGGCTTCAAATAAATTCAAAGTATGGTCTTTAAATTCCTGAATAACTACAGTTAATGTTTCATATGCTTCGTTCTGTATATCATTATTTCCCGTTGCAAATACATCTATAATTAGTTTGCACAATTCTTTATATTGTTCTTCTTTAATAGATTTTGTAGATTCTAATTTTTTGCTGTTGCTAAAATAATATAATTGTCAGAAAGTTTAACAAAATTTAACAAAATTTTATATATTATTTCATATTGTGATAAAATATTTTCTACATAAAAAAATCAATAATATAATGAGAATTAGTTGAAACATGAGATCAATATAATTAACAAATATTTGAAAACAGGAACTAATATCCAAGATTTATCATAAAGTTGTTCTGATTTTTGTAAATAATTTGTATATTTATACATATCGATTTTCAGATAAAAATATCAACAAGAGTACCTGCGAATATAGGTTAAAGCTTCGCGTTTTTCCTTGGTATTGCTGTTTTCCCGCAACATTTTCAGCATTCGCGGGAAAGACTGCACGTTAGAAGCCATTCTACAAATCTATGTTTTTCAAAAGATTAAGATAGTAGAATCTTATTCATCACATCACAAATGTGTTTATAAAAAATTTCCGTGAAAATCTTGAAATTACGATAAGGTTTTCTGTATCCTTACGAATATTTCACATGAACATTAAAATGGAATTATTTACTGATTCCCTTTGGGAATCGTTTTTTACAGACATTCGATATTTTCAAAAACTATACCCCTACAAACATTTGAGAAAACAGGTTGTAATAGCAATTATTAAGCATTAGTACGCATTAATACATAACACACATATTGGCACGTACCATCTACTTTAGCTCGTCATTTCTCTGTTTACTTCTTCTTTTCTCCAATCTTCTTTACCTTCTTCCCTTTTTTCTTTCTGCCAAGGAATCACAACGCAACCAACAAAAATGAGTTTGTTTTTGAAAAGAGATACAATTGGAAATATAATCATACAACAATTTAACGCTTTATATTCCCGGCGAGTTTGCAAAGTACATGTACAACTTCAGATACCGTTCTCAACGAATTTATATTGCTGTCAATCAAACAATTATATTAATTACAAAACTAAAAATATTCTTTATTTTTGCACGTATTTAAAGAACAGAGACATTTTGTTACCTTCATTGTAACATACAAGAAATACATATGTATCAGAAAAAAATTGTTTGTCCGCCAAAAATATATATCCCTACCACGTGTTACTTGAATGCTAAATTGAAGTTGACTTGACTTCGAAGCAGTGGTGTAAATAGAATAAGGGTAAAATTGTATATTTGTTTAATTCTGCTAAAAATATTTTTATTTTTCGTGCATTAGTGAAATACTATCAGATTTATATAGTATTTTGTTATATTTATGAACATTTATTGGATCGATTATATTTATAAAAAAATATAAAATATCAATTTATATTATTATCAATAAGTGCATAGTAATATAAAAAAAATTGTAGTAAAAAGCATTTTCTAGCGCTCACTTTCTATTTAAATTATTTATATTTATGTATATTTTTTTGCTTTTTTCAATACCAAATAATTTTTAAAAATTATAACAAAGTCATTGTTTCAATTTTTTTTTTTACATGTAATCGTCATTTTAGTAAATAGTATATAAAAATATTTTAAATATTGCAAAGATATATAATTTCAACTATTATAAATTACTTAATAATGATCGTAAAATTAATGGAATATTTCTTGTTACTAAATAAGATGTAATATATAGTATAATATAATATATATAGTTACAAATGATATGTGAGACTATTTAATTAAAAAGAAATATGGGAAAAAAATATTTTACAATTATAAAAATATGAACAGTACAATTAAATTTAATCAGTTTTATATGTAAATATAAATTTAAATATCTAAAATTTAATTTTTCCTATAAACTATCAAAAATAATAATAAATGAATTTATAAATATGTATCAACTTATTACTATTTAGGAAACTATTACTATTCAAAATTTTAACAAATTTTATATTTTTTAAATTTTTACGTAAATTTATTTTAGTTAAATATTAATTAAACAAATTTATTCATAAATTTAAAAAATGTTCAATCTTAAAAAAGAATAAGATATATAAAATATGACAAAATATAATTTTTATTTACAAATGCATTTTATTATAAATTTTATATTTATTCGCAATTTTACTTTCATTAATATAATCAAATGTTTATATTATTTGTTTAAAAAGTCTCCATGCTAAAATCTATTATAAGTTTATGATAAACTTATTTACTATTGTATTGTTAAATGTTAAAATATAGCAATACTGATACGATATACAATTCTTGTATTTCAAAAATTCACATCAAGTGCCAAATTATTATACAAAAATGTACTTGGAATTTATTTTTGCATTTCATTTATGGAGTAGTAACAGTAACATTTGCATCTTATAATAATTTATCACATTGTCAAATTAAGAAAATGACCATAATCGAACACTATTATCTCTAGTTGATGTTATACTATCACAAAACCGTTGTCCTGTGCTTGTAGCAACTACTGGTAAACTTCTATGTAAACTTATTCCATTTATACAATCACATGATAACTTTATTTCATATGCTGTATTAAGATCTATACAATCTAAGTTTTGTGGTAATTCCCAAATTATAATATCTCCATTTGTACTACCTAAAAAATGAAAATTAAAAATAACAAAAGATTATTTTTACATTAATATGACATATTTCATAATAATTTATCAAACCTGAGACTATTTCTTTTCCATTAGGCATAATGTCAAATTGAATTCTCTGATTTGTATCAGATTGACGTCCTTTAAGGGAATAGAGCACAGTGCCTGGGTTACGAAGATCCCAGCATAAAAATTCATTACTACGTCTAACTGCTGAAAATAATTTTGTTCCACAAGGACTAAATTCAATTTGGGTTACACCACTTCTTGTCTTAAAAGTACATAATGGTCCATCTTTATATAAACCTAACAAAAAAATATGTACTTAAATTAATAGTACTATTAGCATCAGTAGTATTTTTAATAAGATATTAAATACTACCTATTACTGTTTACTTACCAATATATTTAGAATATGTACCAAAAGCAACTAATCCTGGCATAATTGGATTTTCTCGAATACAAGAAACTATTCCTGTTATATTTGGAAAATCTCTTTTAAACTGAATAGTATTTGTTTGACGACCTGGATGTTCCATATCAAAAATTCTTAATGCATTTTTGAAACCAGCCCACACTTCTTTAGCAGTGTCAATAAATTGAATACTTATTGCAGCTTCTACTTCGTCAACTCTAACAACAATATACATTATAAAATTCATTATATTTATATAAATATTATAATTTTTAAATTCGAAATAAAGATCTTACATATACATCAGTTGCTATATGTAAATGTTGAATAAATATATCTTATATATTGAAGTATAACATACAAAAAAATTGTTAAAAATTTTATAACATTTTCAGTTTTAAATAATGTTACATTATGTAATTATCTTATAATATATTGTTATAGTATTATATAATATTATCTCTATGTTATATAATATTTTGTTATCAATAAGATATAATCCAATGCTGTTTATAAACATTTATATTACTAACTGATTATAAGCACGGTATGTTGCTCGTAATTCACCATTAAAGGCATCCCATAAATGTATAGGACTTTCTCTACTTGTACTTAAAAAACAAGAAGTAGCAGGTTCCCATGAATTCATAAATGGATACCAACAAGTGTCATATATAAGTCCCCCTTCTTTTACTGTTAATGCTGCTGAAAAGTGTTTAGATGATAAATTTAAAGGAATTTTCTCAGAATATAATTCTTTAGGGAGTTCATAAATTCTAATTCTAAAATCTTCAGAAGGTACTAATAAGCATGTTCCATCTGGAGACCACTGACAACCCTTTGTAAAGTTTTCATATGATTCTGTTGGCTGATATTCCACAGTTGCTTCACATAATAAATTTGGAGAATTGTTCCACTTGTAATAAAATAAATTAGTTGAATATGTCACTTCTGTATCTTGTATAGCTTTATTCTCTTTTATTACATCTAATGAGTTTTCATTGTTTTGTACTTCTAGTGTTTCTGCAGTATTTTTTTCTAAATTTTCTGTTAATATTTCATCTTTTTGAATATCTTCTCTATTCACTATATTTCCTAATATTGATGATTTTTCAATTATTAATGGTTCCGGCTAAAATATCATATAATAAAAGAGAAAACATTATTGTAATAAAAATTGAATGAATTAAATTTTTGCATATAGAATATGTTAAATTTTTATTTTAGAACATACCATATCTACAGCAGACTTTGTAGTTATCTCTGTATCTTGAGAATATTCCATAGATAATAATAAACAAAAAGATTAATTCAGTATTGCAATATCTTTACGTATTTTTTCAATAAATCAAATATATATAATGTTCATTGCATACAACATATTAACATGATTGTTTAATTTATATATTAAGAAATTATTTATTGCTTATCTTCACTATAAACCAATATATTTATTGCACATTAAGGTATTAAGTTAAAAGATCAGAATAAGCATCTTTTATAGGAATATTTGGAGTAAAAATTGAATAACAAAGTTTTTTAATTTGTAGTATTTTTAAAATATAAATAGTAGTAATAGTAATGATATTAATCAAAATTACAAAGGTTTTCAAAGAAAAAGGAAAAGATAAACAGAAATTGTTCTAATCTTTTCATATTGAGAATTAAAATGGAAAAGAGTTAAGTATAATATATTAGTTATTTAAATATTAATTTTTCTTCTTACTTTAGAATTTCCAAACATTAAAAAATTTATAAATTGTACTTTCAAAATTTATACAAAAAATAGCACATAGATTAAAAGAATGTGTACAATGATATTAAAACAGTTGTTTTCGTATAAATCATATGTATTATATAATAAAAATAAATTATTTTTCATATATATTAAATTATTTGGGTATATTATATTGTACTGTCATCAATCTACTATTATACTTCCTAAAACATGATCTAACTAACCAAAAGTATAAACAGTATCATGTAGGGATATTTTAGTTTTGTCTATCTATTACCAGAAAAAGAATTTTTGTCATCATTACCAACCATAAAATTTGATATGAAACTAGAACGATAAAATTTAAACATATAAAAACAAAAATCATAGTAAGTATCACAAAGTATATTAATAAATACATATTATATATTTTATTAATTTTATAATAAATATTTTAAGTTACATTTTATAAGTAAATATTTATTTATTGTAATTACTGATGAATTTAAATTGATTTTTAATCTTATTTGTGTGGCTATTGTAGGGGTTGTAAATAGTATATTGTCAAGAAAAGAACTTTATGATTAAATCGTAGTTAAAATGAAGAACATATTAATAGGATAATAAAACACAATAAATAGTAACTATTTAATAATAACTAAATAATAACTGTATAAGTAATAATAAGTAATAGCTAAGAAGAATAAATAAATATACATATTCATTTAAGAAATTTAAAATAGATTAAATAAGTAAATGTTGTTCATATATTACATTATATATCGATTCCATTTTTATATTTTAGATTAATTATCATTAATTCGCATAATGATTTTGTATTTCACATTTATAATTTTTAATGGATATAAATATTAAAAATTGGCATGAACAAACATATTAATCATGCATGAACTATGGACATATATCTTATAATTTTTAAAATGATTAAATAATTTTATAAATTGTTATTTTAAAAATATTTAAATAATAAAATTTATACAAATGTAAATATTATGTTTAAATTATAATCTCTCTCATTAAGAGTTTTAGTACATAGAAATAATCTTAGTAATTAACAGAATAATTCATAAAAAAAATTCTTCAATCTCCTGAAATAATTATGCATTGTTATAAACTTCTGACATTTTTAATGAAAATGCGATATAATACAAAATAATTTAGTTTATTACATTTTTTTATATCGTATTTAGATGCAGATGTAAAATAATATTTAATTATTTTTAACGAATTTTTGACTAGCATTAATATTTTTAAAAGAAATATGGTTTATTGTATCTTTTTTATATAAACTGAAGTTATAACAAGTTGAAATTATTTATATTAATATATTAATAAATTAGTATACATATGAAGCATTATTTTACTTTAAATTACAATATTTTCTAATTTACGTGTTTGTATATTTATAGGTTAAATTTACTTACTGATTTACAGCAATTTTGAAATAAGTTTCGAAATTTATATAACTTAGGAAAAATGTATTTTAAATTTTTTCAATATAAAACCACATTTTAGTCTTATTTAAAGAAATTCTACAAAATAGTCCCATGCATACGTATCTTTTGTGTCTTCAGTGAAAATCCTTTTACAATACAAGCAGGTATAATTACAGAAAGGTACAGAGAATATATTGGTAGAACGGAAGTTTTCAGGGTTATAAAGAATTTATTAGGACTTACAATATTTCACCATAGAAGTCGTAAAGTTTAATAATTTTATAGCATATAAAATATTTCTCAAGCCCTAATAAGGTTGTTACTAATCACAGCATAGTACATCTAAATAAAGAATACATTTAAGTACAAAATGTATGACATTTAAATCGTCATGTTAGAAAAGAATGTATAATATTATAGTAGAATAAAAATAATATTTATTTATTTAAATAATAAATACTTTTACATATTAGTGGAAAGTATAGATGTATACTAGAGAAATAAACAATTTTTGCAAAATGAAAGGTTTATATTTAATTTTATTAATTTTTTTATAGCTAAATTGCTTATTGACGTGTAATTATTTAACATGAATAAAATAAAATAATTTTTATATTTTCAAAATATCTTACAACTTTTATTGTTAATAAATATCCATCTTACTCTTCTAATGCTAAATTTAATATAACATTAATATGCAAAAGTAGTATACTAAAAGTATCAAGTATATAACGATAAGTAGTGTACTAACTTTTAAATTTAAACTTAAATCGATTTAAATTTTATTTAACATTTAACTTTCCTTAAATATTTATTAAAACAAAAGTATTTGATGTTTAATTTAATATTGTAAATTTTGCTACTTAATGATAAATAAAATAATACTTGATATTAGAATTTTTCTTCAAATTGACAACTAAAATTCAAAATAATTTCAAAATTTTATATATATATAATTTTATGTATTTTATATAAAAATCTATCGTTAAAAGCACAGCGTTTTAACTCTTCATAGTTAACTCTTCATTTCAAAAGCGTTCTTTTGAAATTCGACGCAGCTTACGATTCTTTGCTTGCGGTTGTAGAAATAAGAATTTTCAGCAGACCTTCAGACCTACGCCATAAATGTACTCAGCAAAATTTAGGCACAATAGTGTCCAGCAAATATCTGCACCTGGTAGGTATTTTCGTGGAAATTTTGGCAATGTTGCTTCCTCCTTGAACAGAATGTTCTTGCATTTATGTATAATATACGTAACAGCATTTTCCTAATTTTACGAGAAAAGAAGAGAAATTAAATTACTAATTGTTAATATGTAATTTTTCAATCAACTTGGATAAAATGTTTAAATTGTTTTAAATGTTTAAATAACAAATTGCAAATATTGAATTACGTATATTTTATTGAAAGTATGACATTATATAAAATTTTTCACTTTAATCACGAAAAATTGTAACAATTCATATTTTTATTTCTTTTTATTTAACTTTATAACTAATGTATTCGATGTAGAGTATAAATTAACTTTTTAATTAATTAAAGGAAATCTCGTTGTTGTTTAAAACTATTTTTAGAAAAGAAATATTCAATGACTAGTTATGAAAAAGAAATTTACGTATTTAATAGCTTAATCGTCGAAACGTAATTAATTCTTGAAAAGGTTAAAGTTCAAAGCTAAAACAATATATCTTTTATATTATATTTTAGTGTGCGTCAAATAATTTATTACAATTTTTTTTAAATTAATTTGGAATTGAATTTTTATTGGAAAATTCTAATATCTTTGAATTATAGTTTTAGTTTCAAATTTGACTAACATTCCATATAATATTCTAAATCCAACATTGCTAATACAATTTTCATGTATATATATACAGTCCAGCTAATTGAGATTCATATGTAATATACAGAAAATTTATTTGATCCTAAAATATGATATAGAACAAAAATAATTTTATTTTAGTATTAAACCAATCAAATGTATTAAATGTAAAATCTGAAAATTTTTTTTAAATTATTCAAATAGTTACATTTAATGACTAAAAGAAAAAAAATTCCCTAGATGCCATACATATTCATATATTACTTCGATTGTTATTAAATCATAATTCATTAATTTTAAAATCAATTAAAGTCTTGCAAACAATATTTTTATACGATACCTCTAACTTATTTAATTATTTAGAAAATAATAATTAAAACAATCTTTTCTGTTGGATGTTGGAAACGATATAACGTTTCCTAACAGATGAGTTTAGTACTGTTTACGAACAATATCGACAAACTTTTCGTACCTGTCCCCACCACTCATCGAATTACCATCCACTGTGCCCTTTTTCTTTGTATTGTTAGGCTAACAGTAGGTAAGCAGCGATTTAACAGACCGTCGAGAAAAACTGTTCCATAAACTGTCTTGTAACATAGCAATATATACTTCGTATTCTCTAAAACTTTCTTCGGAGTAAATAATTCGATTTATTTCGGAAAATGGATATAAATATCGTTATATGTATATACAATAATAATCTTTGAACTTTACGAGTTTGAAATAAATACTTTTTCAACAACAAAAATTTATATATTTTTAGAAATTATTATTCATTGTTAATAAAGTAAGCAGGGATATATTTATAAATTTTCAATAAATTATTTATAATTCAAAAATAATAAATAACTTCTTAATATAAATTGCTTATGTTCTTATTTAATTATTATTTAAATTCACATTTATGTCTCCTTTATGTATCTCACATTTTTTAATCTATAATTTATTTATAAGCCAAATACTTGTATCCAATTTTATAATAATTAACAAAAATAACTAAGTTTATATATTCATAGAAATTACAATTCATTATTAATATACAAAGCAGAAGGATAAACATAAATTCTCAATAAATGCATTTATGAATAACAATCAAACTATAAACTACCAAATTATAATATTGAATTCTAGAATAATTTCTAATACATGAACAAAACTAACTATTACTCTACAACCTAGTGAACGCTGCTTCTATATTCCTCTAGATAAAACGTCATGAATACGGTTCATCTTACTTTCTCTTATCATAACGTATTTGAA